ATAACATAGGCAATTAAAATTATTGGCTAAAATTAAATACTATTTAGCAAAATTATACAACTTACTCTTTGTATAATGAAGTTCTTGAGCTAATCTTTATTATAGCTTATATTAAGAGAATATACTGTATATACAACTCACTCTTGATATAGTAAACTCTTATTCTAGTAAAAAGTTAATATAGTAAAGATTTTTTGAATTTTAGAATTATTTAACTTTAACTTGATATGTGAAATACATATCTAATACTGTATAATATTTTCTCTTTATAAACTATAGTGAAGATTTTTTTTTTAGCTAGAAATAATAAGTTGTACTTTGCTATATTAAGTTGAAGTTTAAAATTTCTGAAATTTAAAATTTCTTACTATATTAAGTAAGTTGTATATAACCACTTTATAAAAAATAATTTAAATATATATATAAAAATCTTACAAATAATTACTCTTACTATATAGTTAGTAATACAGTATATAGTATATTTGGGTGCTAGTTTTAGAATTGTATTTAGATTGGTTGGTTATAGATTTTAATAATAGTTTTAAACAATTTTAATTGGTCAATAGTTTGTTATCTGACTTTATAAAGCATGCTCTAAAGGCATGCCTCAAGCCAAGGCATGCCCATTGAAGCATGCCAATTTTTTTATCTGTGCCCCCAACCCTACATAGCAGTTTCATAAAGTAATATATATATATATATATATATATATAATAGTAAGTAGAAATAAAACTTTATATAACTTGTATATATTACTATCAGTATTGGCTTGACAAGACCAGTATGACTATTGGACCAGACCAATTTGACCAATTTGACTGGTCTGGTCAAATTGGTCAAATAGTATATTTAAATATAATTTATTATATTATATATATTATATTTATATATTGATTTGACCAATTTGACCAGTTTGACCATTTGACCAATTTGAACAGTAAATTTTTGGTCAACCACTAATTTGCCCAACACTGATTACTATATTTGTATATATACAAAATTAAAAAGAAAGTATTTAATTAAAAAACTTAGTTTTGTTTATTTCAAATAGCCAAACACTTGTACAAGATAGAAAAAAACACAAATATATAAAAAAAAATTTAAAATCTACCTTGTAGTACTAGTTTAAGATACTGTATTAGAAATAACATATTTCTATATTAAAAACTCTAATCAACAATAATTTAGTTACAATTTAATTTATACTAATTTGGTTTTTAGCAATTATAGTTCATAATAGTTCAATTTTATAATATGTACAGTAGTTTATTTTTATAGTTTTTTTGGTCTAAACTATGGTTTTATAAGTTTAGAACTGGATTATTAACATTTCTACATAACTCTAGCTCGACAACATCTTTCCGTTTAATTTATTCATTCAGCTTCTTATGCGTTAAAAAAGGTTGTTCAAACGCTTCTTTTATTCTCTTAATCTAAAATTGTTGTATACAATTCAATACCAAGACAATATCAGTTTATGATAATAAAATTTACCTTCTGTTCACCTAGGCCAGGGCACATGGCAAGCTCATCTGACGAAGCATTCATAATTCGTTTAAGAGACTATCGAACAGTAAAGTTTTAAATGAATTAATGAGTATTCTCAAGGAAAATGCGAGAGTTATTACTCACCCCAAATGACGATGCAAGTGTGACTACGTCAGTTTTGTTTACAGATCTTATTTGTGTCAAGCAATGTGTCAACTATTGTTTGTTTATGTAAAAAA